TTTTCTGACTAACATGCTGCGAAGTGAAAAACAGGTGAGTGATCCAAACATCTTTATATATATATATATATACAGAAGGGGTGGCTATATACATATTCATATATATATAATATATATTTATATGGCTTAATGAAATATCGTTGGAATACACCTATTGTGTTCTATATTCAATTTACAAGTACGCAGCTGTCACCAAACCTCGGGAGGTTCCAGGTTCCCAAGTTTGGATGCAACGGAGTAGTTCATCCAAAGCCCAACGCCGCAAACGAAAGCCTTCAAACACGGCGTTCGTTCACTTTGGAAGCTCAAATCAGAATAGATATGATTCAGCCGGTATTGTTCCACTCTTCGCTCACGAGCATCAGCATCAGTTGGGTTTTCACTTGGTATGCCCCTTTGGTTTTTCCCATTGGATCGTGTACTTGTCACGTGTTTTCTGCCGTGATCCACCACCAGGCATTGCCCTGCGTCCAACTGTCCAGCCGCGACGCTTTCGACCGAGGTCTTCAATGGCGACTTTGTGGATCGCGGGGAGCATCAGCCTCTTCGAAGAAACAAATTGAGCCTGGCAGGATGGGAAGTGGTGGAAGCGGTTTCTATACCCAGACACTCCATGCCTAATGTAGGCACATATGGCATACATGGAGTGTTTCGGATAGATGCTTTTAGACCTCGCAATGGGTTGATGTGCATAATTATTCAGGTTGAAAGACCACGACGTCTTAGTCATGCCGAATTCAGGCTGTCCTCCTTGGTGTGCGCATGGTCTCAGACACAAAGCTCAGTCTTATGAGACATGTTAATGTTTGTTTGCGGTACAAAGGTGTGTAGCGCATGAATTCGATTCAATACAGCGTATAAAACATGTCTCCCCTATGTTTGATCTCATGCCGCACTGATGCCTGCAGTTTCTCAGCTTACGCTAGGAAGTCAAGAACCACATGCATCGAAACAAAAAAACCTTGATGGATTGGGCAAATCACAGAGCTGAAGAACTCTCATTTGACAAGACCAGCAGATGATGATGATAAAGATGAAGCTGAAGTGGAATCCTGGAATGAACAGTCCCAATCGATTTTCCGTTCCGCAGAAGGTAAATAAAAACAAATTGTGATTGACTGTGTGCATACTTGACACGAATCTCCTCTTGACGAGATGCAAGAGTGTTTCGGCCCCAAGCCTCAAGATGATGAGCATCAATTTGTTAGCTTCGTTTCTTGGGGCCATGCCTAACATTTTCTGAGCCCCCAAGTGCCTTTACTCTCTCCTGACAAGCCTTTATTGCCCCAACTAGTAACCAGTGCGCCACCATGGCGGTTTGGAGGCACGAGAGCTGCTTGTTCCACGGAGTTTGAGTGAAAGAGATGAAGTATGGCGAAGTGACGACGTGCTTCCATACTCGCACCTGGCAAAGGCGTACACAGTGTCATTCACACTTACGTTTTGTTTTCAGCAAAGTTCAAGGCACATGTTGTTTGAGAGCAAGGGTTTGCACGGCTGTGTTGCACTGCAATCCTTTTTCTAGATCAAACAAGCGATATTGAACCATTCAAAAAAACCGCATCGGCCATGCGATTCCTTGTGTGGGCATGTTTGTGCCGGATGGTTTCATCCCATGAAGCCGATTTGGTGGCCTCCTTGCAATTATTGCGATCACAGGAATCACCCCGACGCCGAGATCACGATCAAGGGCATGCGTGCCGTGGACAGGATATCCAAGCCCATTCACTCCGGGTTGCGGTGTACACCGCGAACATCGGAGGTAACGACCCAGTCAGTCAGGGCCACTAACATTTCTTGCGTGCCTCACAACATTGATGCCTTCTACTTTTTGGATGAGAGTGGGATTCAGCAAAATGCAGCTGCGTTGAAGATATGGGAAAAACGCGGCTGGAAAGTGATGAGTTATGACATGATTCCAGGAACTGAAGGTGTGGATTCGGCCCGGCTGACCGGCAAGGAATTGAAGTTTGCCCCGCCAAAGTGGCTAGCAAGTGGCTATGATTGGTTGGTTTTTTATGATAGCATCCGATACATAGACTTGAGCAATTTGACGTCATTCTTGGTTGAAAGGCAGAGCCATGCTCTTGTACTACTGGATGCATGCCACGTTCACCCAGAGTGCTGTGGGCGTGACGGATGGTTTTGCATGAATTGGCAAGTGTCTCACTACAGCAGACCGAGCCAACACGACAAGATAGCGGCAACTTTCAACAAGACTAAGATGTGGTTCAAAGAGACGATGAAGCACAAACGTGCAGGTCTTTTAGTGCCACATTATTTCCACACTTGCATCATGTTTCGCAACTTGAGGCAT